ATTTTGGCACTTTATACCCTCTAGGCCATGGATATGCTTGATCTACCCAATCAGGATATGACTTTGTGTAAGTCGGCCTAATGACAGGACGTACTCCAAAAGCCATCTGCTCTTGTACGATTTCCATAATCTGATTTCTCAACATGACGTTGGGTCATATGGAATTCCTACAGGTTGGTTGATCGATTGATTTGCTTGAGGCCCGATATTTGGTCCTTGATTGACAACAAAGTTACCATAATTTGGGTCATTGTTACTATTGGCCTGAACATTTATTCCATCATTAACACATGGGGTATTTTGCCCATTATTTAGGACATTATCTCTTACATTTAGGTTACCTCCCAAGTTAGATGTACCAATGCCACTATTCTGATTTGGTATTACACCACCCCCTGGTTTGAAGTAGAGGGGTCAAAAGGTGATTCTGCCCCTTGATTTAAACTTAGGACTGGGGATTATGTCCCACAATTGTCCTAATTTGAGAGTGGTTTGCAAGAGGTACAACTGGCTGACAAATTTGGCCTACTAACTTATTCATTATTTCGTTCAAAGTATTCAGTTGTTTGGCCATGTTGTCATAATGTGTATTCCCATTCTGGGTAAATCTTTCCATATTATTAATACTTTGTAGATTTACCTGTTCAACGATATCTTGTGTGAGTTCTACGAGTAATGCACGCATGGTTCGAGGATTCAACTCTGTCATTAGTTCGTAACGACTGTGATTGCTCTGATTTTGTCCATCTGTTCATAGAGGGCTATGCTGCTCCTCATATCGTTCGATCACAGACTGGACTCCTCCCTGACTTGCTGCTTCCTTATCGAATTTTTGAGGCATATTGTTTCACCTTTTGTATCTTCAACACCGAACACCAATTGTCCCACTGGGCGTGCCAAATTGTTTCGCGCGGGTTGTCACTAACAATTAAAAAGGGATCAGACGATTGTGAAAAGAACAAACCTCTTGAGATAAAGTCCCAAAAAGGGGTGTTTTATTGGTGATGACTTTACAATTGGAACTTAAACAGAATGCCTCCAAGGGGCACAAGCACACGAGTACTGAAAAAAAATGTTTTAAATCTAAATTAAGGAATTGAAATTACATATTCTCTGTTTGAGAGTGTTTGATTTGGGGTCTTTTGCTCTATGTCTTTCTTTCTTTTATATTCCCTTGATGCTCTCTTTGTGATCAACCACTTAGAAACTGCTTAGTTGCTTTATAACTGCCCAGTTTCTTCATGGTGGCCAACTTATCGTGGAACTGTCGTCTTTAAATGCTGCCACTACTCTTTGTCGTTCAACCGTCTTCAATTGAACTCCTTGAATCGTGGAACGTGATGAGATTATCCAATAACTGTTTCGATAACTGCACTTTTGGATAACCATAATATCTTATGTTTGCTTAGATCCTGGGCGATTCGAAGGTTTGGGCGAGAACATGGTCATAACTCTGGGCGACTGCAAGGTACTTCATTCGCTCAGATCTTGGACGTCTTGCAAGTTTGGGCGATGGTATTACCGCGTTCATGGGCTTCCAGTGCATTCATTAATAACCCTATTTGAGCCTTTATCCTGAATTGTCCAATTGGGCTTCATTCTTTGGGCTATTCGAGTTGGGCTGTACTTTTAACGTGTCAACAATATCCTTAAGTGAGTTCCTTTGGACTTCATTGCCCAGATTTAGATCTATGTGACCATCGTAATGGGTTTTGAATGAATACACTTAACATATTTGATTGAACGTTCTAGAATAGAGTGTGATATATGCTAGAATTTGTGTTGATTCGTCTTGCAACGAGAATTGGATCGTGAGAATCACCAAACTCATGCATAAGTAGGGCATACTACTTTTTGATTGAAGTAGTGATGGCACCCAATGCACGGTCAACATCGAGAAGCGGGAGCAGGTGGGGTAAATTAATAAGTCATCGTTTATCCCCTATTTAGTTATTTTTTTAATTTTTAAATATGATTTGAATAAAAAATAATATTAAAATGAAAAAATTAGATACAAGTTTAGGAAATGAGACTATGTTTCACTTACCCTCAGATTTACTATTTGTGACAGGATGAGAAATTTTTTAAACCCTAATTTACAATTTGTTTTTGGACAATTGAAAGGCATTGTCTTTGAAAGGTGCCACTTAAATACTTTGCGTAATAACTGAAACTGCACTTTATGATAAAAATAACTTTAGAACTTGTTACATTTGTCACCCACTTTTCAATAATACAAAAAATTCTACGTGTAATTTTCTTATTTACATATTGTCACATTTTCAATACAATAAATATGATGTCTCGATGTTTGTCCATTAAGGTTCCTTATTGGACTATTGTGTCATTCATATTTTCATGTAACTAATCCTACCTTTAATATTATCGATTGCAACTTATTGAAATGTGGCTACTTTTCACCTCTAAGGTTATATTGTATAAAAGTGGATTTCTTGTATATTTTTAATGAATTTGTTTGTCCATCTAACACTGTTATCATCACCAACGACCCCCCAAATGCCAACTCAACACCATTCGCTTTGACCCTCAATTTTTAATGCCAAAATTACAAAGCATCATAAGATTAATATATTACTAGAATAAATTATGTTGATGCCCAAACTCACAAAAATTAGTCCGAGATAGCTTAATTTAAGAATAAAAATTTACGAGAGTTCAACAGTAACATCAAAAAAGGATGGATTAGAAGATTACCAAATCAGCACGGATCTTGATTGTCGTCATCTAAAAACATCATCATTATCACCTTGAACATGTCTCTCCTGAATGACGTCATCACCATCTGCCACTCTTAAAGTGACAAAGTGAAACTGGCAATGCCATCTCCTTATTCCTAACCAATAAAAAGTTAGCAATGATTACTTGGCGTCAAGTAATAATGATTCAAGCCATAGCTACTACTTAGGCGTCATGATGGCCTATTGGCCGATCCCAGGAACCAAATGGAGGCATTCGAATTTGGATGGCGATACGCAATTCAAGATCAGTACTGTAGCTAATATGACATTAGACGATCGAGTTGTTTAGTTTGAAGGTCTATAAATGGGGCAAATGGTCCCCTCCATAAAATTGAACTCAATGTATTCTTCAATACACTCCATACTTCAATCGATATAGTTAACCTCTTGTTTTCATAAATTCTAGCAGTCACTCTACACTTATTTTATTTTTATTTTATGTCTATTTTAGTAATCAATAAATTCAATTGCAAAAAAGGTATCTATCTTGATCAGTGGATATATAGTGAATACTACTACTGCATAAGAAACAAGATGCAAAATAACAAGCTAATTACTTTTGATTTTTGACGGAAAAAACTAGCAATCAGGAGAAAATATCAAGCAAAGATGATTAATTATTCGTGCACGAAAGACATTTCAATAAAAAACTTTAAAAAAAAAATCTCTCAATTATATTAGTTTTTCAATAAACAGAAAATTATCTTGTAAAGACAAGGGTGATAGCAATGTGGAATTTATTATTTTTTCAATAAACAGAAAATTATCTTGTATGGACCAGGGCGATAGCAATGTGGAATTTTTTTCATTTTTCTTTAAATACGACTAGGGCATGCAAGACGTGGAAAACCAATATCAAATCACAACTGTACACGTCACTACACCTCCACGTGGGATAACATCATACGTCTTAAACATATTTCTATTTCCCGTGTGACGTACCCACTCACCCCTAAATCAGAGATCAAAATCATAACCCACCACATAATGAAAATGCTCGAAAAACAGAATCTTTATACTTCAATCAGGAGACGCTGAATCGAAATTCAATCGGATTCCTATACATAGCTCCCACCGTGGCTCCCTCCGGCCAACGACAGCTGAATAACCTCACCCGGAGAAAATCAGCGCCGCCGTCATCGTCGAAGAATTCGGGTTCGACCCGACTCATCTACCGAGAATCCAGTGTTTCGGATTCGAATTTACCGTTTTGGCAAAAGACTTGGTTTATACTGCTATTGCTAGTCATGGCGCTCTGTTTTTTCACATTTGCGATTGTTCTGTTGCTAACCCTCGACTCCGATGATAATTCGACTCCTGTTTCTGCCGCCTCTGAAGGCGTTCAGGTAATTGATTATTCGTTTTTCAATCAATACACAGAGAACTAGACGTTCCCATGTGTATGTATAGGTTGATTAAGTTTTGATTGGTATATGGATTATTGTGGATTGAGAAAATGAGTTGAAAGTTGAGTTTAATTTTGGGATTTTTTCTATTAAAAAAAGGCAATAATTGAATGTTTCAAAAGGACGGCCAATACTTATGTGATATATATTTACATGGGCTTGTGAAGTTGGAGAGTTGGGGAAACACTGGGAAAGAATGGGGAATCTGGAAATTTCGCTCCCCATATTGGAGCGATCATCCTGTCCAAACCAACAGATCATTTTGAATTCGTCTGCAAGGGATGAGTACCCTAAAGCTGTATAACCAAAATTACCAGAATCAACACCAATGCTGTTTCTTGGGTGATTTGGTTACAAATATAATTTTTTCTTCCAACAAAGCACACAAGATTTCGACATGAAATCACGTAATCAAAAGTCCCTATACTTAATGCAGATATTGTAATATCACAAAGCCTTTCGTAAACTTTGTCCACGATGGATATGCAAAGAGTGCATCTACTTGTTCTTTTACCTCTTCCTGGCTCATTTTTCTCGTTAGTAACCGCATCATAAAATACTTTGAGAATGCTATTATACCACATATATGGATAAGAGTTTTTACCAAGTGCTTGGTGGCACAAATCTTTGATGAAACCAGGATCAGGATATCAATTTAAGCCATTCATTGGAAATTCAAGTGAACCTGCAAAGACACTTATCTACAATTGCTAAATGACCAGTTCAAATTTTCTACGATAACAATGTACAATACAATACAATTGAATACTTCTGAAAAACTAATCTTACACAAACATGACATTTTTTGTTGTAACTTTAATTATTAGTCTGTCAATATAATGTGCAGACAGCATAGAATTAAATGCTTTAGGTTTGATGTAACCTCAAATTATTTTGTAGATTACATATGGTTCAGTGATTAAGATGATGCATGAGAGGTCGAAGTTCCGGTTGCATTCACATGATGTGCCTTATGGCTCTGGCAGTGGGCAACAGTCTGTTACTGGTTTCCCTAATGTTGATGATTCCAACAGCTACTGGGTATTTTAATGCTATTCCATTTCCATGTGCTTTTTCCTTGAAGTTTCCACATGATGTGGAACTGGATGGATAGAAGTAGAGTTTCGTCATTTATCTTTCATTATTTTTCTTATTTTGCAGATTGTCAGGCCTACACCAGACTCATCTGCAAAACAAGGAGACCAAATTAAAAGTGGTACCATCATTAGGTTGCAGCATATGAGGACTAGGAAATGGCTGCATAGCCACTTGCATGCATCTCCTATATCTGGCAATCTAGAGGTTAGCACGCATGGGTTTCCTTAGGATCCCTTCCTCAACCTCCCTTCTGTTCCATTTTACTCTAATGATTCTCACCTGTATATTTAAACCTTTGGCAAACTGTCTTATGGTAAAACCCAGATTTTTCCTCGTCCCTTATTGAAATAATGGCTATAGAGTTCTCTTATTGATAATATCTTATTGTCTCGTGCATATTCACTGAATGGTTGGTTATGATGAGAATTCGAGGTTACTTATTATCTTTTCTTGCATATGCCACTTTTCAATAAGTGTAGCTCTATAAACGATTTTGTTAGCCGAGTGTTGATGAGTAAAAGAGCCATGAGACTTAAACCAGTTGCCGTACCTTTCAGACAAAAAATGAACTTAATATAGTCCATTGGAGGTAAGGTGCTCCTTATTATTGATAGAATACTTCATCATCAATGTTTCCAAAGGTGAATATGAGGTGCATCTCAGAGTATGCCACAAGGCAAGGTATTCCAAATAAGTTCCGTAGTGCCCAGGAAAGCAGATATTCTGTAAGGCGTTTGTTGACATAAAAAAATAAAATAAAATAAAATAATTAATTGATTGGGTTGATTTTGAATACTTAGCCCTACTAAGTTTATTAAATTAAAGCCTACTATGGCCCATAAAATTCAAAAGCCCATCCTACTTATCAAATCCATGATTATCTAATTATTATTATTTTTTAAATAAAGATAATTGAAAGGTTGCAAAGTGGTTACAATTTTCTCTATAAATAGGACCAAAGGTCCATAAAAAGTTCACAAGTGAAAGGTGTGTGAGAAAATCACGAAGTGCTGAAAAAGTTTCAAAGTCGGAGGAAGAGAAGAAACTATCTCAAGCCTCAGTCAGGGAAACATCAAGAAGTTCAAAGTTTTCTTCAAATCAAGTAAATTCAAGTTAAGTCTAAGAAGGTCAAAATCTTCTTCAAATCAAATCAAATTCAAGTTCAAGTCTTGAAGTGCAAATCCAAGCCCCGAAATCCAAGTGCCAAACAAGCCAAGTTCTCAACAAATTAAGTTTCCAACAAATCTTGAATAAAAATGCCTTTAATGAAGCCAACTCATGTGATTTACCTGCTTTCCAGATTCTTGTATTTTTGTTTAACATGTGTCTCTTTCTTGTTACTTGAATTGACATGAGTTGTTTATTTAACAAAATGCCTTTAATTTCTTGAAAAAAAATCCAGCCCTAAGTTGATAAAAAACAAATGCATGTGCAGGTGAGTTGCTTTGGAGGTGATAGTGAGTCTGATACTGGGGATTACTGGAGGTGCGACTTTCTGTCTCGTGTCTTCTGGATTATATTCAATGTTTATAATGACAAGCAAAACTAATATTTACCTCTTTAATACCTTATGGTACTGCAGAATTGATATTGAAGGAAGTGGGAAAACGTGGAGGCAAGATCAGAGGGTAAGGCTTCATCATGTGGACACTGGTGGATACCTACACAGTCATGACAAGAAATACTCCCGTATAGCTGGGGGTCAGCAAGAGGTAAGAATAGGATGGGTTTGGCATTGGGATTATCAATGAAGTCCGTATTTGGTAATGTAGTAATAGATTGTAGTGGTGGCCACATTATAACTAGTAATAGATTGTAGTGGTGGCCACATTATAACTTCATTTTTTGTATCATGGAGAATCAACATTCTCCTTTAGCATCTTTAATGACTAAATTTTGCAGGTTTGTGGTGTTCGTGAAAAACGAGCTGATAATGTCTGGTTGGCAGCCGAGGGTGTGTATCTGCCAGTCGCTGAAAGCAAGTGAACATCGTGCAGTGATCCCAGTGTTCGTGACTGATGCACAATGAAGATTTTTTTCTTTTGTGATCTTTAGTAGTGTTCTCCCATTTCTCGACTATGATCGGGTAATTAGTTGTATCCGAGTATTATATTTACATATACAATGTCTGTAGGTTTATTAAAAAATCTGAAGTTAGTAGTCACTATAGTACAATGCCATTTTGGTGATGGAGTCCCTTCAGAATGTAATATTTAGTTCCTAGTTCCTACTTACGGATTTGTGTATTTCAACCGTAAAATGTCACAAGTACCCTCGCTTGTAATAAAACCAATAATAATAAATAGCAAGGAAAAGGAAAGCTTTACTGGGCCTACAAACCTTGGGATTCTATGGGGTCGGGTTGAGTCGTTGAGACAAATGCAAAGTACCGTAACGTCCCTTTGATAATCAATTTGTAAATAATTTATAAATTCATTAAAAGATAAATACTTTTTTTTTGTGTTGAACTTTAAATTTTTCTTACCGATGATGCATAATTTATCCTAAGATCTATGCAGCAAAATTTATGCACTAATTTTCTCTCATTCTCTACGTGTAGGTTCTTCGTTTTGCATCTTTGTCTTTCAATGCTACTAATCACTTCTTTTTGCACCAATCATCTTTGAATTTGGAGTTTAAATACAGAACAATATTTACACTAACATGAGTAGAAAATTCACTCAGATGTTTAAGAGCAAAAATAAACATGTAAAATTTACTTATCATCAATGTGTTGGCTCTAAATCTTTGATACTACTTATTAGAATGTTTTCTATGTACATATTAAAATGTAACACAAAACTATTGCAATTAAGCCCCGTTTGATCCTTATTAAAATTATAATTCATTCTTCTCGCTCTTCTTATTAATCACGTTTTTTTAATAAAATAATATTATATGTAAATCTAAAACATTATTTTTTCCTCTTTTAACCGCACATTTAAAAAATATATATATATTATTTCAAAAATTATAATCTCAAATAATAGGAGCCAAATGAGGGGCTAAATAAAACATTTTCCTTTTGATGCCATGAGAGAACTCCAACCTTGTTTTCGAATACTACACTTGGTTAAATGTTATGTGCATACGTGTCACATTTGGCTCTTTCTCCATCTTCTCTATAGGAATGGCAATGAGATGGGTCGACCATTCTTACACCCATGCTGTTGGGGGTATTATTATCATCTTACCCCACGCCCATATCTGGTTAAAGCAGGGGTGGGGCAGGTCCCATATCCCTATTTATCGCCCGTTTATTTATTTTATGTCTATAATTAGTGAAATTATTACCTTTTTTTTCGATTTATCAAGAACGACGCATGTTCTCTTTAAAATTATGATAAATCTTTTGTTTTTGTTTAATAAAAACCTAATTTTAAATTAAATTTAAATGAGACAGGTAGTGCGACAGGTACTATGTTTTCCATACTCATTTTGAGGCAACGACCCCCGCCCCGTCCCGTCCCGTCCCGTCCCGTCCCCACTCCATTTACCCGATTAGGCAGGTTGGGACGGAGCACGTGGATATCAGGTTGAGCAAATTTTTTTTTTGTCATCTCTACTTCTGTAGTTAGATAATTATCAATGGGGCCTAGCTACCCAATTATTTATTATGCACAGTTATATTAGAGAGGTGGTGGAACCTAGCCATCTGGGGCAGTGCCGGGGGACAATAAAATATGTTTCTACTGAACTTAAAAAGTTAGTCTTTGAGCCTAGGCCTGTCCCTCTCTCCGGCCCTGCTAGCCATATAATAACTTTATATAATTTCACCCATTATGAAACCCTAGTTCCGACACTAAAGCATCATATTACGCAATTGGGTCTAAAACTAGTAATATGTACGGAGTATTACATTATTATAAAATAAGATTCCAAAGTATACTGTCATGTAAGTATTTTAAAAATACTGTGCAGCAAGGGTGGAGCCACACAGAGGCGAGTGCAGGCATCCACCTCGCCTCATCTGGGATTTCTTACAGCAGTTGAAGGCAATGCCCGCACTGAAATTTCTGGAGGATTGGATCTGCTGAAAGCACTTTTCTCTCCACTCGTCTCTGGCTACACACTTTTCTCTCCACTCTGCTTCAAGGCTACTTCTGTTGATTTGGTTCTCCAACTTGAATTTGCTTCTTATTTTCGTCAATCAACTTTTCATTTGGGAATTTCAATTTTCCAGTTAGGGCATCTTATTGGTTTCTTCATAGCTGGAAGATTGTGTATGTATATTTCATATACAATTTGAGTTCAGTCAAAGACAGTAGTGGAATTGCAGACTTGCAGCGTATCAGGGCACTTTGGTCGGCTGGATTGGGTTTGAATTTTTTTTTTATTATCGGTAAAAGGTTGAACCCCAACCTTGAGGGCCCCCACCGCCCCGCCGCTAGAGTATCGTGAGGGAGGTAAATTGCGGGATGTGCTCTACCAGACCAGAGAACAAGAGCTTGCATGTACACTGGTGCCCACAAAGAGTTTAATTTCATATCTCAGAAATCGAACTCTCATACTGCGGCTGCCAGCAAGGCTGAGATTACATCACTCCCGTCTTTTGCACCACTGGGTTATGCCCCGAGGGCTGGGTTTAATTTTAAATTGCTCCATTGCCATGGTCTTTGCATTTGTGTGCTGAATTGGATTTGAATTTTAAATTGGTCAACTGCCATGGTCTTTGCATTTGTCTATTATTTTACTTAGGTAATATTATTAGTGGAAGGTGGCGGTAATGATGATAGCCACTGTGAGACATGGAGATTTAATTCACTAGACATTGTGAAAATGTTTACTATTATACTTTAATATTGTTTCTCAATATTTGCTTAATTTAAAAGTTTACTGTTATTGTACTTTCAATGTTAACATGTTTATAATTTTAAAATTTTAAATGTTTACCATTATACTTTAATATTGCCTATTGTAAATTTTTGGAGGCTTTTAGTATTTTATTACTTATGGATGATTCTTGCTGAAATTATGGTCCAGTATCATGAATTTTTAATAATTGATGACTCCTCCGGCTGCTTTCAATGGCACTGCTACCAGTGGAAGTGGGAACCACAATGAGAAGAAGCAGCAACAACCACAGTCGCAAAATGGGCAAACATACCCAAGCTCGTCTCCGGAGACCATCATCCTGTGTTTGCTTTGATCTATAGCTATCAATCAAGAATCAACTTCTGTGGCCATTGCTGAATCACGTAATCTCGGCTTCATTCTTCCAATTTAAAGGAAATGTTGTGAAACTTATTATGTGCTGCAGTTGGATATATTTTATCACACGTTGATGTACACCAGATTCATATGTATCATCTGAAATAAAGTTCATGACACAGAATCTTTATTTCCATTTAGTGCTGACATGATTGTTTAAATATGGTGCCATAGAGATATTTGTTATTTCGATGAAAATTGAACTTGCAGTGTCCCTGGCTGTTTGTGTGATTTCAATTTCAATTCTTGGAAAAAAATTAAGACATGGATCCTTTCAGTTTCTGATTTTGGGTTTGAAATGAGTTATCCTAATTCAAAATTACTGCAACATTGATTTTGTGATTTGTCTATATTCACAATATATGTTAAATGAAAATTCAAATTTGGATGAACAGTAAGCGTCTCAAGGACCTGGTCGCAAAGAAATTGAATTTGAATCTCTAGGCTATGCTTCTTGACAACCATCATACCAATGTGCATTCTGAATGAAAAGGGAAAATGAACAACAATTTCATCTCTGGTTTGATCCAAAAACAGCCTTCCACACCCTCTCAATCGTCTGAAACTCTCAACAAAAAATCATGTAAGTCAATATACAAAGCCCTTAAGTCTCATTTTCATTAATCCTAAAACTATGAGCAAATTAATAATAATTCTTTTGGTTATTGATGTATATCGAATCTACAACCACACAATAATAATAACACGAACGGATTGAACTCAAGAAACCAGCACTTTTCTTATTTCATAAACAACCAAAGAAAACCTAGGAGGCTTTTTCTAAGCCTTAAATACGAAAAGAACAAATAACCTACAGGGCCAACGGTCCCTTAATGGGTTGGGTTACAAAACGAAAATAAGAATTACTGAAAATAACAAACCAAGAAACATTAAATGCTATTTTGACTTAGTAAATGAATTCAAACTGCCAAAATTCATCATACTTCACGACAAAGCCGTGTGTTTATTCAAAATCGTTGTGAGCTTTCTGAAATGGGTTTATGGGCCCAAAACGGATACCGTATACGAAAGTTATGCTAATTTCTTCGAACGTCGACAATCTAAGCGTTCCATCTACGCAAGCATCTGTTATTCCACACAAACCTCATCTGTTATGAATTTCTGCTTCTTGGTGGACGACATTCCTATTAGAGTATTCAAAAATCACCAAGAAGCAATCTGGATGTAACATTGGATCTTGTGCTAACAAGTCCATTGATTCCTCTAATTTCGGGACATGGCAAACTCAAGAATTGGATGCAAAGGGAAGAAATAGACTTTGTTGGGTACAACAAAATCACATGATTTATAATTATTGTGCTGATGTTCGAAGGTTTCCTCTAGGCTTTTCTGCGGAATGCAAGCTTTCAAGTTTCTAAAAAATATTGTGCACTGTTTCATATTTCACTTCTTCTATAATTAAATGTCTATAGAAATTAGTTCTTTTATTCTTATATATTCGTGTATTCAAATATAATACTGTATTGACTATTGATTTTAATAATGGGAAACAAATTTGATGTATTTGTTGTAGAGAGTGTTGGGAATCTACTTATACATGCACAGCGGAATTTAAAATATATTTCGATTCCCATCCAATAGATCTCATTGTGTTTGGTTAGGAATTGTGATAGGATTGTACCTTTTCCAGATCTGCAATCCTTTTGCTTTTCTTTTGTTCCACAAATTTGATTCGCCACCACAGCTGTCCAATCGTCCAGCCTCCAACGGTGATCCACACAGAGAATATGATTGCAGCCTCTAGGGTTTTCTCTTGTGCTAGCAAGAATAATGAAAACCTTAATGGACCTCAAACCCTAGTTATGTATTTATATAAACCCAAATAGGTTCGGCCCGGTCCGGCCCAATAATTAATTAATCCAATTAATTAAACCCGGTCCGTGAATTAATTAATCCAATTAATTAATTCGAAAATATAAATAACAAATCCAATTAATTAATTTATCCAACGATTGTTAAATTAATCAATTGGCAATTTGCAATCTTCCAATTCTCTTTTGTGTGTGACCCATTAGGTTCCCGACCACGATGCCTAACGACGTGAAATATTATTTTGATCTAATCAAAATTGATAAATTAAAACACCCCTTTTAA